GGAAAGATGCCCATAGTATACAGTTAATTTTAAAAATATCCTGCAGTTTGTGTGATGTGCATGAGTTCATTTTTTAAAAATAAATAAATAAATAAATAAATAAGCAAGCAGAGATGTCTGTATGAATCACATAAAAAGAAAGAATAACCTCTGACTGGCCAGGTAGCTCAGTTGGTTCCAATATCCAAGGTTGTGAGTTTGATACCTGGTCAGGACACATAAGCAACCAGTAAAAGGATAATAAGTGGAACAAGAAATTGATGTCTCTCTCTGTCTGTTTCTTTCTCTCCCCCTTCCTCTGTCTCTCAAAAAATTAAAAAGAAAAAATAACCTCTGAAATTGTTAACAGTGGCTCTCCCTAGAGGTAGGTAGGATTAAACAATTGGAGGATAGAACTTTCACTCCATATAAGATTGTAAGTAATTTTTATTTTTTAAAACATTTCTTAGCATTTTTAAAAAGATTTTATTTATTTATATTTAGAGAGGGAAGGGAGGAAGAGAGAGAGAGAGAGAGAAACATCAATGTGCGGTTGCTGGGGGTCATGGCCTGCAACCCAGGCATGTGCCCTGACTGGGAATCGAACCTGTGATGCTTTGGTTTGCAGCCCACGCTCAATCCACTGAGCTATGCCAGCCAGGGCATTTCTTAGCATTTTTAATATAGAAAAATTTAAAGGGTATATAGATGAAATTTTATTTATATTTTAAATGATACATTGAATTAGGATATGATTTTTATTTTCTAATGTATCTAAATTTTCTCTATAATTTGAATTTGATAATTGGACAACAAACAAGTTTTCACTAAAGAATTCTTTCAATCCAAGTATTGTTTTTTCTTGATGCAATTAATTATGTTTACTTGCATAATTATAAATGCTAATGCATATAGTAACAATGAGAGCTAACATTTATTGAATCCTTTTAAAGCCAGCTAGTGTTCTCAGTACTTAGTTAATCCTATGAGGTAGGTGCTAATATTATATCTATCTTAAAGATGAGGCTCACAAAATTTAAGTAACTTGTCTAAGATTGTAGAACTACTAAGTGGCAGAGCTGTGATGTAACTTGCAGTTTCTCTCCAAAGGCTGTACCCTACATGCTATACTATCTCTAAGTGCCAGTTGTTGAACTTGTAAATAGCTGTCGAACTGTTAACAGGGGTTTTAGTTTTTCTGCTTTAATATAAAGATTATTAATTTTTTGTCAGTATTCTGGCAATCCTAGTATACAATTTAATTTTTTTCAGTCCATCAGGGATTGTTAAAGAGCTTTTGTGATTTCTGCATATCCCCAGAAATGAGCAGATGTAGGTGATAAACTTGTAGCTAAAATGCTGTTGGTTGCATTTTATTTTATTTTCTCTGGGCAGGCAGCTTGGCATTGTGGAAAAATCGTGTCCTTCAGCTTCAGTTGGATTTGAGTTTAAATTTGGGCTTCAACTTTTTCTAGCTGCTAGTTTTGCATTGTTTCTTCACTTTCAAAATAAGGATAACATTATGGCCCTTTTGGGTGGCTATGAGAATTACATGAAATAATGTAGGCAAAAGACCTGTGAAATGGAGTCAGGCACATAGTAAAATCTTTGTAAATTTTAAGTTACTTATTCAAGTAGTTCTCCCAAAGTAAAATGAAGAAACAAAATGTACCTTTTTATACTATGAAATGCAGGCAGAACTGTGACTGGAGAATGAATATTCTCAATAAATTTATTCTTCATTCTTACATTTCAAATGATGGTGATGTAAAAACTATTGTCATCTCTTACCTTGTAAACATTGTAAAAATCCTGACCTGGTGTAACAGCAACATTTTATCACAAGTCAAACTAAACTCATACAGCATTCTTTGATCAGTTTTTTTGATATGAGTTTTTTTCACTTTGATCTTTTAGATGTTTTCAGTTTTAGTTATTTTGTGATGAATTTTTTATCACTTTTGCTTATCTTCTCTTTTTTCTCCTATATACTATTAAATGTTACTGATTTCTGTTTATATCTTTGTATGTCTTTGAGTAACTAATGAAAAAAGTTTAATGTAAATTCTTGTGTCCATTTTTTCTGGGATTTGGTGTCTTTATTTTTACTTACTATAATAAACATCTATTTTGGGATATTGGTATGTATGACCTTTTTCTCTTTGAAATAAATAATTACTGCCAGTTATATTTTTAGTTAGAATTATCCCTGCAAAGGTCATTTTTAAAAAGTTGATGCATTTTATTCTGTTGTTTACAGAAAAATAACCGATACTTTTTTTATTAGAGTGATTGTATACCTGACCTGTGGTGCTGATTGGCATTTTGGGTGATTTGGAATCATCATACCTCTTCAAGGAGGGTGGCTGAGAGCAAGATTTTGACTGGAATACTGAGGAGCTTTCTATTTGATCTGCGGGTTTATTTCTTAATTTACCTTTTCATAGTTTAGTAATTGAGTTCTTTCTGTTATTTTTTAATAGATTGTCTCAATTTCAAAATATTTACTTTACATCTGACTTCATTACTTAACTATCTAAGACAAAATATACTGGGTTTAAGGAAATCTGAGGATGATGAAACATTTAAGGACTTTCCTGTCTTGGCTTATTGTTATTTTATTTTGAAATGAAATGGGTATATATGAAAACTGTTCTCTTAAAAGCACAATTTTATCCTCTTCATCATTGAATTTAAATTTTTTAAAATTCTTATTTAAAAATTAATTTTTTGTAGATTCTTCTCTCACTATGTTATGTTAGCACATTTTTGGAAATGAAGTATGCTCATAATTAGTAAAATCACTTGTTTGAATCTAATTAATATCATCAATTAAATAAATTAGGAAGTTTTTACTTTTTTTTTTTGTTTTAGAAGAGCTGAAATCAAATTCTCCCATGCCTACCAAGCCTAGTTGAAGCCTTCATGCTGTATACATGGTTATCTAGAACCCAATCTACAGTCCAGGATACTTAGTTACTCTTGTGATGACCTAATATATTTGTACTTTCTGACCATCATAGATATCAGTGGCCCTAACTGCAACAATAAGACAAATCAATCCCTAAACACAACCACCCTAAAATGCTTACATCTCAAATATCTATTCAAACTGACTGATGACAAGTAAAATATCTTAATATTTAACTTACTTTAGAAGCTGAAAAATTTCTTTAATTTGTTACATAAGGGACTTTACTTTTTATTTATTACACAAAATGGTATAACATCTGTAGCTCAAGACTGTAGTGGGGAGTATTTGATAATAAAATACAGGTGTGGGGCATCTAACACACTGCAGATGGAAAGAGGTGACTGCTATTTTTATTTTCTAATAATGAATGACAAATGCCAAAATATGCTTTCTGCTGAAAGTGCTCATTTGTGTACTGCTTATATTCACTACTGTTCTTGCTTCCCTGAATGGTGACTTGTGGGTTAAAAAAAAATGCCAGCAGAAACTAAAAGTGACTATTTTTATTCTTTCTAAGGAAAACTTAATGTTGAGTACAGTTGTTAAAAATAAGATATTTGTGTTATATTTATAAAGCAAATCTTGGGAAAAAGTAATTTTTAGAAAAATATCTCTGTAAATGGTCTTGGCTAGTATTTGATATCTTGTATATTTAAGTCTTAATTCTTTGTCACAATTAATGGGTGGGGTTGGTTGGATATAGAATTATACTTAGAAAAGAGTTTTCCTTTATTTTCAAAGATTTAAAACCAGTTAGATTGGCTTCCAACTTCCAGTGGTTCTGTTGAGAAGTTTTGTTTCGTTTTGTTTTGTTTTTTATTTGTCTATTTGTTTTCCCATTTTGGGTCTTGGTATTTAGTCCATGCTTTTGTTTTGTCACTCAGGAGCTTTTAAAGGTCTTCTCTTTCTCCCTGTCAATTTGAACATTTTAGGTGATACCTTTCTGACTCCAGTGGGTGTTTGGAAATGTATGGAGATAGTAGGAATTCTGGGAGAGTGTACTTTGGCAATTAGTGCCTGGAGGTCAAAGATGTTAATTTTCTTGCAATGCAAGAAACAGTCTCACCCAAAATGTCAGTAGTGCCTTTGTTGAGAAGTATTGTAATCCTCGGGAAATATAAGAATAATTCTGACCTGCATATTGATTATGGTGCATGACAAGGGAAATAAGACGTGTACCAAAGACCAATCAGTATGTTTCATAATAATGTTAATAGTCCTGTTGTGTGAAATAATGGAGGAAGAAAAGTATAAATGACATAGTACAAATTGAATAGAATAAAAATCACTCTGTGAAATACAGTCATTTGGTTATCTGTCAGTATATATTTACCATGTTACTGGTTTTAGTATCTAGCTGGATATTATTTGCACTATTGTGCTTAGTCATATTTTTGACAGTTTTCTGTATTTCCAAGTAGTACCTGCCTTTAATTACTTTGATATGTTAAGAAAACTATTAACTCTTTTCTATAGTGGGATATCTGTTTGTAATCCAAACACTTAGCAGTTCCAGATCTAGAAAGATTTGAGAAATAACATTTTTGCAAAGGCTAGAATTTGACTGACAATAATAGCTATACTTTCCTAAATTGGAGTGGGATTCAGAAAAAAGTTGAGCAATGGTTATAAACTTGTGTAGGTTTATAGCAGCTTCACAGTTAGCATTTTGCAGTTCTATTTCAGTAATGTCTTGGGAAATGAATTACCGAGATTGAATATATAGGTAGCTATAAGAATGCAAACATTCAATGACAAAGACAAATTGCTTTTAAATTATCCACAAGTTTTTCATGGTTCATACATATCATTGCTTTACTTCACTAATGTAGCTGACTTGGGAAACTGTACATTAGAAATCTATGACTGAGGAAGCAGAGGAATGAAAGCAGAGGAAGGAATGAAAGCAGAGGAAGCAGAGGAAGAAAGACAGTAAAAGATATTAAAATAGGAGTTTGATAATTTTGTATTAATATACTAATTGTGAGGCATTTTAAAATAAGTGTTGAGAGTCATCATTTTAATATGCATATGATTTACTTTTCAGAACCTAAATCACAACCGCAGCAGCTTCATCAGGGACAACACCGATTGTTGAATACTGAGCAAAATGGAATAAAAGATAATAATCAATCAAGATATCTTCCCCGAAGTGATATCAGACAGCCAAGAAATGAAAAACCTCCTCGTTTTCAAAGAGATACCCAAAATTCAAAGTCAGTTTTAGAAAGCAGTGGATTACCTAGAAATAGAGGTACTGAAAGACCAAGTAGTTCTTCAGGATCTGAAGTATGGGCTGAAGAGAGAATCAGATGTGATAGACCATATTCTAGATATGATAGAACTAAAGACATTTCATACCCTTTAAGTTCTCAGCACAATGATGGTGCTTTTAAAAAAAGGGATAACTCTATGCAAAGCAGATCAGGAAGAGGTCCATCCTACGCAGAGGCAAAAGAAAGTCCACTTCCTCAAGAACCAATAGATTATAATAATCAAAAACGTGGGAAGAGAGAAAACCAAACAGCAAATCCTGATTATTTTTATGACAGGAAACCACGAACATTAAATAATGAAGCTTTCAGTGGTATAAAAATTGAAAAACATTTTAATGTAAATACTGATTACCAGAATCCTGTCCGAACTAATAGTTTCATTGGTATTCCAAATGGAGAGACAGAAGTACCACTGAAGGGAAGGCGAGTAGGACCCATTAAGCCAGCAGGACCCATCACAGCTGCACCCTATGATGATAAAATATTTTACAATAGTGGGCCCAAAAGAAGATCTGGGCCAATTAAGCCAGAAAAAGTACTAGAATCATCTATTCCTATGGAGTATGCAAAACTGTGGAAACCTGGAGATGAATGTTTTGCACTTTATTGGGAAGACAATAAGGTACGCATACTATAGTGGTATTACATAGTGATATTACTAAATGTAACATTCTAGTGAGACTGCAGAAAGCTGTTGCTTTGGGACTGTGAATTTTGTTCAACATTTGTACCTGTTTAAAGTCTTTAAACAGATTTATAAATATGTAATTTATAAAAGAGGGAAAACAAAATACTTCCTGTTTTTTAAGGATGATTAGGGAGAATCAGTCTCATAAGATTTGGTTAGGTTAGGTTTGATTTTAGCTTGTGCATCAGAATAGTATAAAACTGGTTAAGTGAAGTTGGTAAGTGATTTCACTTATCATCCACTGAATTATTAATGTTTGCTTTTCTCTTGTATATGGCCTTTATTATGTTGAGGAATGCTCCCTCTGATCCCACTTTGCTGAATGTTTTTATCATAAATGGGTGCCGTACCTTATCAAATGCTTTTTCCGCATCTGTCAATATGGTCATGTGATTTTTTTCTTTTTGTTTATGTGATGTTTTACATTTATTAATTTGTAAACATTGTACTGTCCTTATATCCCTGGGATGAATCCCACTTGATCATGGTGTATGATCTTCTTAATGTATTGTTGGATGCAGTTTGCCAATATTTTGTTGAGGATTTTTTTTTTTAAGATTTTATTTATTTATTTTTAGAGAGGGAAGGGGCGGGGGGGGAGAGAGAGAGGGAGAGAGACAGAGAGACAGAGAGACAGAGACAGAGACAGAGAGAGACACATCAATGTACGGTTGCTGGGGGTCCTGGCCTGCAACTCAGGCATGTGCCCTGACTGGGAATCGAACCTGCGACACTTTGGTTTGCAGCCCGCGCTCAATCCACTGAGCTACGCCAGCCAGGGCTGTTGAGGATTTTAGAGTCTGCGTTAATAAGCGATATTGGCTTATAGTTTTCTTTCTTTATTGTGTCTTTATCTGGTTTTGGGATTAGGATGATGCTGGCTTCATAAAAAGAGTTTGGGAGTCTTCTGTCTTCTTGGATTTTTTGGAATAGTCTGTGAAGGAATAGTCTGTGAAGGGTTATCTCTTCCTTAAATGTTTTGTAAAATTCTCCTGTGAAACTGTCTGGGCCAGGGCTTTTGTGTGCCAGGAGTTTTTTGATTACTGCTTTGATTTTGTCAGCTGTTATTGGTCTGTTCAGGCTTTCTGCTTCTTCATTCAGTTAGAGGAAAGCACAGGCAAGAAAATCTCAGATATTCCATGCAGCAATATTTTCACCAATATGTCCCCTAGAACAAGGGACATAAAGGAAAGAATAAACAAATGGGATGTCATCAAAATAAAAAGCTTCTGCATGGCTAAAGAAATCAGCATTAAAATGAAAAGGGAGCCAACCCTATGGGAAAATATATTTTCCAACGATAACTCAGACAAGGGTTTGACCTCCAAAATATGTAAAGAACTCACAGGACTTCACTCCAGGAAGACTAAAAACCAATTAAAAAGTGGAAAAAGGACCTGAAGAGACACTTCTCCAAGGAGGACATACAGGGAGCCCAGAAACATATGAAAAGATGCTTGGCATTACTAGCTATCAGAGAGATGCAAAGTATTTTTTATTTTGATTCCTGGATTGATAGCTCTCCCCTACCATACTTTTAAGTTTATTACAGACAGGATTATGTCTGTTCAGTTTTCATCTGCAGCCCTTCTTTTCCTACAGTGTAGGGACTTAACAATAATTTTGGACCCTGTTAATTAGTTAATTTTGAGGGAGCACTTATATAAGAAAAAAGTAGAGTGGTTAGGGGACTGGAGATACCAGCAAATTAATAAAAACAGAGGTAAGGGAGTTATAGTGACAGAGACCTAGATAGATGTGAAGATCAGGTAAAAGAAAAAATATTTGAGGTAAATATTTCATAAGTAAAGTAGTTTCAATTGATAAAGTAAGAATGTGTCCAAAAGAGTGTGTGTGTGTGACTAAAAGAAGTGGTGGAAGCAAAGTTAACTGAAAATTTCAAGGAACTGAAATTCAGGCTAGGAAATGTGGGTGGATCTTCTAAAGAGATACTGTAGGCCTTGGGATCAGGAACCAGGCCCCATAATGTTCAGTGGATAATGAGGCATCAGCTGAATGTTAGGTGTGTTACCTGATGATATCAGCAAGGAGGGTACAGATGATATAACTAGGTGCCGTAGTCTTGAGGCATTTCTATACATGGGGGATAATACTCATCTAGTAGCAGCATCTACTGCCAAGTTTTTATTCAAGGCTAAAAAGAGAGGCAGAGATAGCACTAGTTGTGTTTTTCCTTTTTTTCCAGAAAAGCAAAGCCTTGCCAGAAATATCAATAGGTAATCTCATTAGTTGGAACTATTTTACATGGCTACTTCCTGGCTAATACAAAGGCTTGGAAAGCAAGTACTGGTCAGACTATTACTCTTTCAACTCAAACTACTCACTTTCAAAAAAACAAGAACTATTCGATTTGGTTAGAAAGGGATTATTTATGTTTTCCTGTTTCTCAGTCATGGTTTGTAGAGCTAAGTGTTTACCTTAGAGTGGACTTTGTGTCAGATGCTTCTGTGAAAAGTTGATTAGGTTGAAAATGAAAAGATATTTTTTCCATATTGGACAGTGTGGGATTGTTGGTGACTTTGACAAGCAGAGGAGGTAAGTGATTGGAGTTCAGGTCGGACAATGTTTGAAAGGCTTGGTCAACCACTGAGACTGTCCTTTAAAATCTCATAAAGATCATGCTCTAGTAGTAAGTGCGAACTACAAACAAGGCATTACAAACCCTAAGACAAACCTTTACAAGATCAAGGATATCTGTTTGTACTCTGTCTGCCTGCCCAAAGTAAATGTAATCCTCTTTTAGGGAAAAAAAAAACATTTTCTAGAACCTTTCCAATATTTTATCTGCAGTGTCTGGCATCCTATAAAAAATTATGAGGCATGGTTTAAGAGAGAAAGAATATGATTGAACAGAAACAAAAAAACAACAGAAAAATAAAAGACCTACAAATATTGAAATATTAGACTTAGCAGACAAGTTCTTCAACAAATATTGAGAATTCAATAAACCATGACTGAGTAGCTACTAAGTGACTAAATGTTTAGGATTGATCAGGTAGTTTGTGCTGTGTTATTGCCCATATACCTTCAAACACCTAATGAGATTATTAATAAAACTTTACTTTTAATTGTAATTGTCTCAAAAAATTCAGTAATACTGAATTCATCCATTGCTGCTACTGAGTATATTCAAAATAATGTCATATACCTTCTGAAAGACAGTTTCTAATAATTATTAAAATGTTTTGAGCTTTTAAGAGTATTATTAGAATGATTGGATGATCTTCTAAAGTGACTACTTTGATTTTAATTGCATTTATATTTTTAGTTTAGAGTGAGGGACTATGGACACTATATAGATTATACAATTAAACAAATAAGATAAACAGTATTCACCCCCTGAAAGAGATGAGATTAGTTATCTTCTGAAACCACCTAATTTAAGAAATAGCTTTTAAATGTCTTGTCAAGAATAGGCAACTTTTTGGCCTGGCTAGTGTGGCTCAGTGGGTTGGGTGCTGACATGCAAACCAAAGGGTCCCCAGTTCAATTTTCAGTCAGGGCACATGCCTGGATTGTGGGCCAGGTCCCCAGTAGGGGTGCACGAGAGGCAATCACACATTGATGTTTCTCTCCCTCTCTCTCTTCCTTCTCCTCTGTCTAAAAATAAATAAATAAAATCTTTTAAAAAAAGAATAGGCAGCTTTCTAATTTTCTAGTCAAGAGACCAGGGTTTGAAGATTTAAGAAAAAGCATTGGCTATCACTGTCATTAAGAAATCATAATCTTAATTGCATTGTAGTGATGTTTTGGAGCTGATTAATTAATTAGTATAATCTGTCATTTAAAAGAATCTTCCCAGTATCTTGCCTTCTCCCAGGCTTTATTTCCATTGAAGGATTTGAGAACTTGGAACAATTCTTCCTCTAGACTGCCATAATTAGTTCAGCTCTTTCTGCCCACTCAACTGTAATGCTCTAACAACCTCCAAACCGGTCTCCTTGCCTTAAACCTTATTCCTTTTAAACTTGTCCTTAAAACTGCCACCACTGTGCTCCTGATTTAGACCATGTCACTTTTCCTAGGTAAAATCTTGTACCTGTACAGTAAATACAGATTTTAACATGCATGCAGAGCCTCAGTCGGTTGGCTGTAACCTTCTTGTCCTGTCTAATTTTCTATTGGTTGACAGTCTCACGTCATGCCATAATTAATTTTAAATTCTTTATAGTTTCCTGCACTCATCTTCATGTTTATGTCTCTATAACATTCCCTGGAACAAACTCCCTTTTCAGTTCTTTACTTGGCTAAAGTCTCTTCACGCTTAAAGACTATATACTGATTGTCATCTGCCCCAGGAAGCTTTTCCCAAATACTTCAACCTTATCATATGCCTTATCACTATACAGCACCTTATTACAGTGCTTTCCACATTATATAGAAACCATTTTTTTTTTTTTTTTAGAGAGAGGAAGGGAGGAAAAAAGAGAGGGATAGAAACCTCAATGTGTGGTTGCCTCTTACATGCCCCCTACTGGGGACCAGGCCTGCAACCCAGGCATGTGCCCCGACTGGGAATCGAACTGGTGACCCTTCGGTTTGTAGGCCGCCACTCAATTCACTGAGGCACACCAGCCAGGGCTAGAAGTCATTTTTAACATGAATTGTCTTTATGAAAGTAAGTTCTAAAAAGATGTCAACTTATTTGTTTTCCTAGGATATATTATGAATCATTGTGTATTGAACTTATCTAAACTGACATAATTATCTGAGAAGTTTACAATTAAAGCATAGGTCCAAAAATGCATCAATTCACAAAACACAGAAGTGTGAGGTTAAAGAAATAAAGGAGGGATGGAGAGATGAGAATGAATGTATATCAAGAACTCTACGATTTGGAAAATTTCATGATGATGTCTCTAGACTTCCTAGCATCCATATACCTGGGAAGGAAGCACCATGGATTAACTTAATAACCTTTGTAGTAAGAAGTATACCAGTTAATCAGTAAAAACAGATTTTTTTTCCTGGTACATCCAGGGTAACTCATATTTTAGAGGGATATGGTGAGTAAGACTTGTTGTTGCCTTAGCATTTTCTGATTCAATGAGCCTATTAAGAGATACTGTTAGAGTAGATAGTGTTAGAGTCTCCAACTAACGTAGTTTAAAGAAATTATTCCTTAAGAGGATCTAGTTTTTTATTTCTATTTTGTGTTCACTAAGCAACATTCTGACCTACAGTTTAGGTCCTGAATGGGTTGGCCCATAGTGGAGCAGTTCTCTAATTAGTTGATCTATTCCTAGTTACTTTAACAAATAAGTTTTAAAATTGTACTTGTTATGTAAAGCAGTTCCATGTGGGTTTGTTAATGAACAATAACAGGGCCAAGTAAAACTGGGTAAACTGATACAATAAAAATGTCCAATCTTGCAGAGTCTCAAATCCACTAACTCCTAGATATGAATAATGTGCTTATTCCGTACCTGACATCTCTACTCCACCTCAGCTGCCTGTGGCGAGGGTGGCAAAGAGCCTTTTTCTTTGTATTTATTTTTGCTATATGTTTCTGTTTTTTAAATGAATTGCTCCTTAATTATATATTCTGATTAGTACATGAGAATTGTCTTATCAGGGTTAGTCAGAGGACTTCAGTGGCTAACAACAAAACATAACACTAGTCCTTTATACATCCACTAGCATGCGAATATTTTTCTTCACTAAGCATCGGGCTCTGTCCTGAATTACTTCTACTGCTCAGTGTGTGTCAGAACTCATATGGATAAGATAATTTATCTTTTTTAAGCTAATTTATGATTATTAAAGGTAAGTTTTCTTTCTTAAATATATTATTCTCTTAATTTTTTTTCTTTAAAATATTGTGTATGTGATTGTTGCTAAGAGAATCTTAAAATTTTTATCACAAGAAAAAAATTCTTTATGGTGATGAACTTTAAAGTTATTTTGATCGTTTTACACATTTACATATCAAATCACTATGTTGTACATCTAAAACTAATATAATGTTCTGTCAGTTTTATCTCAAATGCTAATTAATTTTTAAAAAAGAACTAAGCTTTTAAAAAATGACGCATTCTAACACTTCAATTACTTACATTTCCATCAAATATTCCCCTTTGTAGTAGGCAATGTTGATTGTCCTATTAAAACTCCTTTTTGTCTCCTCAGTTTTACCGAGCAGAAGTTGAAGCTCTCCATTCTTCAGGGATGACAGCAGTAGTTAAATTCACCGATTATGGAAACTATGAAGAGGTGCTACTAAGCAACATCAAGCCCATTCAAACAGAGGCATGGGTACGTGATCCAAATTCTGTACATAGGCATAAGCTATTTTGAAGAAAATACATAGTAATACAAAGTTTTCCAGTGGAAAAGTATTTTAAATTTGCTTAAAACTGGTCATCCTTAAAGTAAGATTTTAATTTAATAATTACATTGGACTACAATAAAAATGAAAGCATCGGAATTACTTTCCCTGTATAATGCTTTTGTTATATTATGCTTTGGAAATAGGTGCCCTTATTTATATGTTTGCCAAAAATTTGTATGTGTAAAATTAGTTTTTATGCATATTTTGTTACTTTAAATTTGACTGGATTCTGTCCAGCAGTTGTCAAATTTAAATCTCTGTTGGATACATGTATATTCTTTATTTCAGTTACATGTAAAGTTAAGAAAAACACTTCAAAGTGTATATGAATTCACACTGCATGTACTACACACATATTTATATATGTATATGTACTGATTAACTATAAGTAACTGTTTAATAATTATTTGATTATTTTTTATGCCAAATGTTATGTTGAAGCTATGTGACAATTTTGATGATATAATTTAGAATGTACTGGTTTCATGGAGTCCATTTTATTCAGGATTTATGTGACTTGATAATGGATAGATTCGCAACTACATTTCATCCAAAATAGGAAGACAAGGCATATTAAAATTAGTTTGATCAATCAATGTTTCTCTCCCTTTCTCCCTCCCTCCCCTACTCTCTTTAAAAAAAAAAAAAAAAAAAGAGAATGAAGCCCTGACCTGTGTGGATCAGTTGGTCGAGCATCGTTTCACAAAGCAAAAGGTCCCTGGTTCCATTTCCAGTCAGGGCACATGACTGGAACCTGCCTAGGTTGCAGGTTTGGTCCCCAGATGGGTTGTGTGTGAGAGGCAACAAATGGATGTTTCTCTTTCACATCAATGTTTGTTTCCCTTTCTTTGTCCTTCCCTTCCCCTTTCTCTGAAAAAAAAAAGTTTGATAACCGTTAAAATGTTCTTTTTCCAATCTGTAGGTAACTGTTAATACCCTTGTCATTAGGAGCCTAATTTGTAGCTATTTCCATAAAATATCAAAATGTACTAGAAAATTGTATCACTTAGTAATTTCATCACTGAAGCATACGTTGTTTTCTCATGAACTGCTTTTAGTTTATTTTAATTTTGATTTTTTTTTTCATTTTTCTGTCATGACCTCACTGTCATGCCCCCCACTCCCAAAAGATAAACAACAAAAAACCTTGTAGCTGTAATAACAGTTTGGACCATGGATCTTGATTCTATATATTTTATGCTAGAATAACTATTATTTCCTGGATAATTGATCACTGTATCACTAATATTACTAATGATTCTTTAAAAGTTAGCTACTTTTTTCCTAAAAGCCTGAAGAAATATCATCAATATCTAGTTTATGTCTTTTCTTTTGAGAAACTTGTTGTACCCAAATTTTTGCCTTTAGATTCCCATATGATGGCTATTTGCATTCTTTTTTTTTCTATTAATACTTACATCTTAATCTGTTTTTATAGTAAAAGTAATTATTTATTGAGTCTGTATTTCTAGGAGTTCAGTCCTGGTTTGCTCCTTGTCATGTGCTTCCAAATGTTTTTAGCCATTCCTATCAGAGGTTAAAATAGAATTTCCATGTTTAGTTTTCTCTTTATTATTTAGAGATTTAATAAGAGATTAATTATATTTTTTCTCCTTAAAGAGAAATTTGTTTTCTTACTTCATTTCTTCTCTACTTCCTTTTTCTGTTCCAGGGTGGCCGTAAGTGAGGAGCACATTTGTAGTTCCTCACTGTAACTCTTCCATTCAAAAAGTGTTTGGTACTGAAGTGGTGATTTTCTTTCCACAGTCAGAGACTTTTCCTCTCTATCCTTCACCCCATCCTCATAATCCTTACTGCTTTTCCATTGATTTTAGATGTACATAAACTCAGCGGGACAATAACTTTATCAGATGCCATAGCCCATGTAGCAATTTGTTCTCAACCACCGCAATATATTCATATTCTTCCTACCCCTTTGTGAATACTCACATGTGCATTGTGCTATTTTTTTATCTATTTACTTTTTCTACAGTAAGCTTAAAAATCTTCTAAATTTTTTCAATCTTTTAAAAATCTTATTAGATGCTTGAAATATTTTTCAGGAAGATAGATGCAGGATAGACTCACTAACTTTTGGAGATTCTGGTATTCTTTTCTCCTACTTACAAATACTCAAGTGATTGCTGATGTTTTATAATTTTGCATAAATTAAAATAACAAATTTGTTGGATCATGAACATCATTATTGAGGAAAAGATTGTCCTTTATTCTTTATCCGCATAAATAACTGACTTAGTTGTAGAAGCATCTTCTTCTTGATATATAGAAGCCACCAGCTTAACTTAACGTAGCTTCACCCAGCTCCATTAAAAAAATACCTAAAAAGCCCCTAAGGAAAAGTCTATGCGGCTGTCAGTATATTTAATGTAGAGTTAGTGTAGAGTTCTCTTAGCCTCTGAAGAGTGTTAATGTTTGGGTGTATGAGCATTCTTCTTTGTGTAACTGGGTTAACTGTAACAAATTTGAAGTTAGTCAAAAATAAAACATTTACTATACCAATAAGGAGGTAACTCCAATTGGTAAGTTATACTAGAAAAATTAAAGGGCTGTAAAGGTACAGTGAACTTGTTAGAAGCCTTAGGACAATTATTCATTCACACTACAGATTGTATAATTTTTTTCATTTTAACTCCTGCACTATATATATGCATTGTGATTTTTAATTTTGAAATGATATTGTATATTTTATTAAGGATTATATTTGTTATTGGCACAAGATTTTGGAAAACCTCTTGTTTTCCTAAATGTAGCGATGATCAGGTATTGAAGACTTTTTTAATAGTTTGTGGGGAAAACCAAAAATCCTGTATATAAGCCAAAAGCCTTTATAGAAATCAGTTGCCTGTTTTGTGTCTTAAAGGTGTAAGGATAAATCATTAAATAAAAAGCATGAAATATTAAGAGACTTAATGACTAAGATAATAGTCCCTTGTATGGAAAATTAAAATAAAAATTTAGTTAACAGTTTAAATCTGAGTATTAATATTTTCCATGAAGTTTAGGAATTATTTGCCTTAATTCTGCCTAGATACCAAAATAGATACCAAATATCTATTTTCCTTTTCCATCTGGATGTACCCTTTTATTTCCAGACATGCTCACTCAGTGATGATATTTTAGATGGCAAAAATTTATGTTCTGATTCTGATTAAATACTTTATTTCCTCTAAAATGATTTACTAAACTTTGTGGTAAGTTACTTTTTATTTCTTTCTACCTAGATTTCACCTGGCTCTTTTAGCTATCATAAAATATTCTGTCTTAAATTTAGTGTCTTTATTATAGTGAACTCTATCACATGTGAGTTTCACAGCTCATTCTGAACTGGATAAATGCTCTAATTGTTTTTCAAAGGTCTTTAAACATTGTAGAATTTTCCTTATTTTATTAAAGTAGCTGAAGCATTAGGAGTCTCTGTAAAATTATATAGGGAGAAAACCATACTGTGTCTTACTTTGTATTTCTAACTACTGTATGAGAAAACATTAGGAGCCAAGAAAATCTGCTATTTGTGTTCCCTGCAGTCCCCTTCCAAATTGGTTCCTTTTAACTCTAAAACCTATATCAGAAATCCAGTAGAAAGATGCCGTGGGCAGTTTGGAATTACTGTGAAATCCGCTGGTGCTGCTGTTCAGACAAACCTTTTGTGTTTTAGCATGGTGTTGCTTCTGAATTGCTTTTCTGAACCTGAAAAAAACACTGTCAAGTCCTGATTCTCCAAGTATATTTGTGAGTTGAATTCCATTGAGACTTTTATGCTCTAAGAAACGTTGTAGAACATGCTAGTTTCTAAATGTCCTTTTAAAAATTTCATGGTATTTGCTTCTTGGTATCAGGAAATGATCATCGTTTGCTGTTGTTTCAACTAGAAAAAAATATTATTGTATAGATAATGGGAGTTCTAAGACCTTAACATACACATTATGGACAGTAATTCTGGAAAGTAACAGATGATTGTTATTATCCAGATGATTATCCTGTTTTAACTGTTTTCCTGAAAAGTATTCATTTATTCAACAACTACTCATTTCACATCTGTTAGGGGTCAAGCCCCATTCTAGGTCAGGGATACATGTTTGTAGAGAAAACCCAAAATTTCCTCCCACTGCAGAAAGTTTGAAGAAAGTTTCAGTTCCAGTTATGTGAAACAAACTTAAATATCTTACTGGAGTCTTTATTCATACTTTTTGAAGCTTTAAAACAAAATAGAAGTGGTGAAAATCTTGTTTACTGAAGTTTTAATTTAAATAGCGTTTAGGTCTTTCCACCACAATTTAAAGATAAAATTAATATGAAAGAAAAAGGTGTGATTGAATGAATTTTATCTACTTAAGAAATTCTTAACTATTTATTTAAATAATAAAATTTATTTTTAGGATGTTTTAGATTCTGTTTTTTAAAAAAGAATTCTAATATGTATATTTCAATTTTGGCATACTTTAAGAAAAGAAATACCAATCTTGAATTTTACTTTTGAAAAATTTATACAAAATTTATTTTTTAAGGATATCCTGGTAAGCACATTTGGAAGTTACCTTTTCAAATTCAATCATGCTTAATAAAAATCCATAAACTATTCTACCACTAATAAAATATTTAAAAAGAAACATGTAATCAAAATAAGCCATAGCCTATTTACTGAGGAAGGACACTGAGAGTTGTGAGACAGAAATTAATGAGTTAAAATACATCCTAGATGTATTACAACCATACTAGTTGTATTAGTATTTTAATCACATAGTGATAACATTGGACTGTCTTTATTTGTATTTGATACCAAAGAAAGTAATAGATATTAAAAAAAGGACAATTGTTTTAGGAACCATAACTTCATAGGAAAATTAGAATTATGTAACAGTGAGGTTCTGCCAATTAGTACCCTATAAAAAGTCCAGGTACCTACTTCAGAAGGATTTTCATTCTTGCTGATTAATTCTCATTAACAAATTAATTAGTGGGCATAATTTACCATACTTACATTTCTTCATTGAAAACATAATGTGATTAAGGTCACTAAAATACATTTCTTCTACCATACGTATTTGGGGAAACTTCCTTTTCAAAGATGGCCACATGGACATTGTTGATTTTGTTTTGCAGCTTAAACAGAGTAAATCAGAATGAAACTGTGCAGCTAGTTGAGCCCCATTTAAAACATAATTTTCAAATCATGATCAGTGGAATTTGGGGGCTTTTATGCAGTATCTTTTAGCTTTGTTTAAATAAAGTTTGGTTGTATTCGATGTGGTTTATTTATTTCTTCATCTATTCCCGGGCTTTCCCAATCCCCACAACAGGTTGTGGATTATACAATAAGGCTTCCTGGTGGTAGGAAAGCTGCTGACACAGAGGGAGAAATGGTAGTTCATAAATGCACACCATATACAAAGCGGTGTCCCCTTAAATTCTGTCCACATCCACCTCCTGAAGCCCAAATTGAGTTTGCTATAACTAAATGTAATAGATAATTACCAACATCTTGAGATCTAGTTTTGACCTGGTAGAAATATCTTTAAAAGATTTCTGGGTAATCTGAATTTTCCTTTATTGAACAGTGAAAGTACAGATTAGATCATTATTTCATCTTCCCTTTTTTTGAAGGTGAAATAACTCCCAAAGTGAAATAACATAGCAGGGTATTACCTAAATGTGCTTTCTTTTAAAGTTATTTTAATGATGACTCAGTTTCGTTTCTAACTTTAATTACAGTTTATAAAAACAATTTAAGCCTTAAATTATTTAAATATGAAGTTCCAAGTTAGCGTAACTGAAAAATCACAGCATTCTTGTTTTGTAGACAAGAATAATGCCAATAGACATCATGTTAATCTTTCATCTTCTAAGCCACCCTTTTACTAATGGCAGCTTACAGTATGGACTCCTAAATTATGGTGTTGCTTAATTAAGAACTAAATTCATGATGCTTTTGATTTTTCTTTCAAAGTAGTTTCAAGGAGGTTTGGATGAGATCTAGAGCTAAAGGGGGCTGGGATTGTCAGGTGAGCTTGTACTTCCCTTTGACGTCTTGATTCACTACACACAAGGTTTGTTCTTTTCTAAGTGTAAATTTACTTTGCTTACCAGGACTTTTAAAACTATAATTTCAAACTATGCTGTATTTTACCATTCTTTTGCATATGTATGCAATAGACTTGCTAATATACTCATTGTACAGGAAATAAAGTAGTAAAACAAATCTGAGGAATATTTTCATTTTATTTTATTTCTTTTTTCCCAAAGTAGTTAATCTTATATATTGAGTATGTGCCTTGACTAGATACTCATGTCAGTATATTTTAAAGGTTTTTATAAATCTTAAGAAGCAGACTTCTTAAATTAAAAAAAAATACACATGTGTCTCTGTCTTAGTTTCTAGTGAATTTCTGAGCCTCTTGCATCTGCACCTGAGAAAGCAGAAAAACAATGTTGCTCATTGCACCATAGACTTTATCCCCCTTCAGGTGGCATGCCCACAGTGCATCTGCCCTTTTTTAGGGTCAGTGATTGTGAACCCTGATGGTGGTGGGCTGAAAGGGAATTGATGGTACATACTTGATTGCATACCACAGTGAGTCATCAGTTGACCGTTTTCTTTTTTTAATCTTACGTGGTCACCTGTGTGTTTCTACTTGATACTATTTTTCTATATTCTTTTGCTATCTTACTTACTAGTTATCTCTCTGTGTTTTCATTCTATTTCCTGGGCATCATTGTATTTTTTTCTTTGGCTTCAGTTTCTTTTTACCTCTAGCCTAGGGGTGACCAACCCACCACAGGCTGCACATGGCCCAGGATGACTATGAATGTGGCCCAATACAAAACTGTAAATTCACTTAAAACCTTTTTTTTTTTTTTTTGCCTCTTCAGTTTTCTTTAGTGTTTTTTGTATTTATTATGTGGCCAAGATAACTCTTCTTCTTCCAGCGTAGCCCAGAAATGCCAAAAGGTTAAACACACCTGTGTAGAAGGTATCTTTTGATTTATATGAACTACCTTTCCTACTGATCCTAATTTTCTGAACTTTATTGGACCTGTGCCATTTGTTCTAGAATCATGTGTGGTAGGCTTCACTATCACACCTCTAGGAAAAGAATGGAGTTGGTCTGTCTCCTTGTGAGAAATACTCTGATGTTACAAAACGTCCAGCTCCATTAAACTTGGAAATTATTGGGAAGAGTTTTACACCTTGGCTTGAAATAACTCACTTAGTTGCCTGTCATTGGCTGAGAGCTCCATTCAGAAGGGAAAGGAAGTACTACAACAGTGAGTACATTTTATTTGCCTTAAAACGATACAGTTTATTAAGAGTTAACATAATGAAGAGGTTCCAGTTAAGCAGATTTGACTATCATAAGAATCATTATTATTTTTTTTTTGGACATACTTTTTCATGCCTAGTCCATCCAGCTCAGGGCTTTCTAAAATGTTCTGAGAACATTAGTTATGCTTCATGCTCAAATAAATTTGAAAAATGCTGGGTTAAAAAAATTAAGTACACTTCTTGATCACAGGACTTCTTTAAGTCAGAAATAGAATAATATGTATTTTAAATCTCTGAGAGAGATATATAGTGGGTGTTGTTTAACAGACTATTTGTTCAGGGAACTCTTTTTTTTTTCTTTTTCCATGTAGAACTTGTTATGTAGAAAGTCTTTAGAAGATGCTTTTGGTTTAGTGCTCTCCTTCTTCCTAGTTTTCAAATGTCCCATCTTTAATAGGGTGAAGATATATCTTTAGAATGTATAGTTTTAGATATTCCAAACTTTTTATTAATAATATAATCAGATATTTTTATAAGAAGAATATAAAAGTTCATTTCTCCTCAGGTATGTCCCAAGAGTCTTTACCTTTCTGTGAATGGAGGACAAAATATATTCCTGAAATTTTATGTCCCTTCTGAGAACTTTTGCCATTAGTCATAGTGTTTTATTATATAAAAATAAAATGAAGATTTTATTTTACATGTAAATATATACAACTCACTAGTCCTTTAATTTTAACTCTAATTCTGGAAACTGTTTATGTATTAACTTTTAGAAATTGGCTTTTGTGAAGACTCCCATCATAGCTTTTAGAATATTGCTACCCTTTTCTGTAGTTCTCACCTCATGCCCACGTGGTATTATTTACATGTTCCAGCAGTAATGCGTTTTCATCATTTGTGGTTTAGTATTGACTCTTCCCCAATAGTCTAGTCTAAGGCAAAATCTGAAATCCCCCCCCTTTTTTTTTTTTGTTAAGCTAGCATTGGCTACTAAATCAAAAAGTGTCAAAGCAAGTTAATTCCACTGGGTGTGCGGGCATTCTTAAATAAAGAAGAGTAGTCCAAAAAGACCAAAAACTCTGTTTTATGTCATCATTAGCCCTTTTTCTGCTAAGCCAGTGTATTCTGAAGCCTTTCAATGGTATTGTTTTAATTTATTAAAGGCCTTCTAGAGAACAAACTCTTATACTCAACTGTTCTAGATCTCCTGTTCTTATTTTCCTAGTAAAATAACAGACTTGATAATCTTGAATCTAATTCCAGGGTCTACTTGAGAGTTCTGGAGGGGAAAAAAACTCATTTTAAGAAACATGCCCTCTCCAAGCATTTATAATTATAAACAAGGGCAGAGTTTATGATTGGATAATAGCTAGTATAAGTGCAAAGAAACTGTCTAAATAAGCAGTACATAAATGCTATAAGTACCATCTCTTTTAGTGCTTGAGAGAATCAGAATTTTAAGTGAGCACATGAACTGGTTTGGTAGCAGAAACAGTAGAAGGAGGTCAGTAATTGTTTGTTGAATGATTCACGTAGTCCAGTTGGTAACCTTTAGTGCTGATGAGCTCTTCAGACATCAAACTCTAGTATGACAGTTTAATATGATAGTTTTTCAATAAATTTTTTCAGCGCATTTTGTAACAAAGCTGCTTTGGAAAATAGGTTGACCTATATCCCCAAGGAATTAAAATGATATAGAAGAAGTAGAAGATATATTTTCCTCCTTCCAGAAGCCACCTAATACATATTAATAAGGCCTCCATCAAACTGGGGTGGTTATGTTCTGGGAACTGTTGTTGGCATGGTTCCTGACAGAATTTTGTTATGCATGTTAAATGAATGGCATAGAGTGAGGAATGTAAGTAGAAAAGCCAACATTGACTTTTCAGAACTAGTAGTAATGTTAACTACCTTTTATCAGCATTTTTGTCTTGCCTGAAGAATGCTAATTTTTTCCTCCAGATCATCTGATTGGGAAATTAGGGTCAACCCTCTTGG